AACTTCTGGGCTTGTAGGGTGGCAACCTACAGCTCTGCAAGTGCAGAAAAGTCATTACATCAACCATTTGGAGCAACTTCTAGGCCTGTAGGCTGGCAATCTACAGCCATTCACAAGCATGTTCCATTGGACCGACAAAGGGGGTACTCAACGGGCACTAAACGACCTTGTTTTTTTTTCTCAACAGCATTCCCATGTGGGACGAGTCCTGACGACGGGGGGGCATCGATGCGATTTTGACATGGGCGCAATCAAAATCAATCAAATATGGATAATGACCATAAGTGATACAAATCCTGAATCATACAAATCCTTGACAAATAAAGAGTTTTGTGAAGTTTGAGTTGTTTTCCGTCCCGAGAGTTATTGTTTGGGATGGTTCCTCAGTCAAACTCCAGGTAGTGACGCCGCTACTCCATCCGCTCGGGTCCGGTTCTTCCACTACAAGTATTCCAGATGTTCCACAGTTCGGTGATGTTCCCTCAACAACAGCAAGTTACTTGGTACTTGGCTCCTATTTGATCCTATTTGGATGGTTTGGAGATGATTTGGAGTATAATTAGACTGTCAATTAGATTCAATTAGACTGTATAGACTATTTCATGGAGCGAAGCGATGCATCACATACCTCCCTTGAGCTTGTGACTGAATAACTTGTCCTGTAATACTGATGTCTCGAACACTTGCCTATATCCAAACACAGAAAGCAGCTCCTCAGGATTCCTCATTCATCTTCATCTCCAAGTCAGCAGAACACACAGAAAGTTCTTCACGTCTTCAGCATTACCGCGCCCCAGGCACTTTGGCCAGCCGGGCGCGTTCCTGGGGAAGCGGCCCCTTCGCCACGCTCGTGCAGCTCCTCGCCTCGCTTGGCTCGGGCGGCTCAGTCGCCGGCGCCGGGAGCGGCGCCGGGCCCCGCTCGTGCGCGGGCGCCGCCGCGCGCGGCGCGGGTGCCGAGGAGGAGGCGGCGCCGGAGCGCCTGGCAGTGGTTAAAGACCAACAGGAAGCCCAACAGGAAGGCGGGCGAACATGGAATTGATGATGTTGGATGATCGGGAACTGTTTGATTTTCACCCATCCGGTGTTCTGAGCTCAAAGAAGACGACCCTGGAAGCAGCAGCCTGTCGTCCATGTTGATCCATAGATACAATAAGTGTAGACTCTTGATTCATACATATGAATACACCCCCCAGAATTGGACATCCTCTTCAAAGGGGGGGCGATTAAATCAAAAGTCTCTACATTATGTTTGAGGGGTTCTTCTTGCCATCCATCTTCAAACCCATATCATGGTGGTTTCAGGATGAAACCAGGGGTTCTTCTTCTCTGCTTCACGTCCCCACCCGGTCGGACCACGGCCTCCGTATGCGCCGCGAGCGCTGCGTGGTCAAGTTCAGCTGCCTCGGCCGCCCCGGGGCCCGGCTCGCCACACGTAGAGGTCAGAACGAGTCAGAAGGGTTCCCAGTCGGCCGGTGATGGATTGACCGATTTGGGACCGATGTCCTCAAAATCGGTGACAGATTTCAATTAGCATATCTTCTACATG